TTACCGTTAACGGTATTATACCGGCGTTTCAGTGGCCGGTCAGCACGTGAAAGAAACACCGTGTCGCCGTTTTTATTCTAATTTAACACTAGAAATCCGTAAAACATCTGATAAAAACGGCGAAACAGTTTATTTTCACGGGGCCACCGGCCACTAGAACGCCAGTGGGACCGTTTTTTCTAACAGTGTGCCAACTTTCGTAGTGGCATTTCCATTCAATATTTTAGCCTCTGCAGGTTTTCTTTTCCTTCAACCTTTCTTGACTGACTCTGTACTTTCACTTTCTTCCGATTATGCGGTGTATTTGTTGACTATTTATGGAATAATTTGATAGTTAAATTGTCTTGACTTCGAAAATTTTACTGTAATTATTTTGCTGCATGAATTAATTAAATTATACTTATGGTCTTAATTCGAAAACTCGCAGCCGAATTTTTCGTGAATCAAATTTTCAAAGGCTGAAATTATATGGTAATGTCGTTCGATATTTTCTGCCAATTTTCAAAATCTTTCTGCCAATTTAGGCAAATATTTTCATTCATGAACGATGGATTTCTACCTGATTTGGTTTTCAATCTGGTATTGAACTGTTGAGCCATCGTGCTGCTGAGTTGAACAAAAATTTGACATTTTTCACGTTGTTGATAGGAAGGCTCGTCACATTTCCGATAGCTAGCGTCATCAGTTTAGCCAGCAAGTCGCGGACGTTCAATAAAATGAGACAGCGGCTGTCCAACTTTGCTCGACCTCTACGACTGGCAGGACGACAAATCTGAGATATTGGCCGCTGATTTTTAACATAGTTGCTCTCTCTTATTTGCCTCAGAGTACGATAGGGTAAGAGTGAAGTGTCCTTAACATGCTGTCTTCGTCAGCAAGAATATATTTAATTACATTTAGCGTTGAAAATTTTCCGTTCAAATGAAATTAATTGCTTATTCATCTTCAGGTAAATAATTGGAACCTTGCGGACTTCGAGTTTTCGAGAACATATGGATGGTTCTATATTATTGTTTAAATATTTTTTGACGATATTCTCGGGGGTTAAATATCCCACTTGGTTGCATTATTTACATCATGAAGCACCTCTGCCATAAATTTATAAATTTACTCCCCTGATTCACAAATCATTTATTTCAGGCAGTCCGTACTATTCTCGACCTGATTCACAATTCATTTATTTCAGTGCGTACCATTCTCGAAGGACGAGTTTATCTTGAGTTAATCCGATTTTTTTAACCTAGAAGTGAACGACGAGCGAATCCGGCACTGCTTGATATTAGTTCTGCTTTTTGTTGATGAAGGGCTTCTTGTAAGACGCCTCGCCGCCCCTTGCTCCCGAGAGGGGTCCTCGCCGACTGCCATTCAGAGGCTCCCTACACCTTCACGTCAAGCCATTAATTCCCTAATTGATTTTCGAGCGGTGCCAGACTTTGCTATTAGGCTACGAGAAAATTATTGCAAAAACCTTAGAAAATTCATCGCGATTGACAGCGCGATGTTATTCTTTGTTAAATTTTACGTGGATAACCGCTTCTCAATATTATCCTGCCGCATTGCAAGAATGAAGGAGTAAAGCAAGATATATCTGGCCGATGCTTCTCCACGTATTTTTTATCTTGAAGACTCAGCCACAAATTAACTCACGCCAAAAATAAAATATTTTCTCCTCCCTCGGCTGCTTTATTTGTATCAAAGTCTGTCAGTACAAGTTTAATTATCACGCAAAATTGATGGGGACGATGAGAAAAAGGGAGATGAACCCTCGAGGATTCCCCACTGCGAAAATTGCTGGCTTGATTTCTTCTGCTTTTCCGCGATCATTTCGCCGTTAATTTATTCGAGTCACATTCCGACGCCGAGTTTTTGCTTTTTCTCTCGGCTGCCCTCGGCGGCGTGAAGAAAGATTTTTTTGATCCCTTCTGCCCCCATGTTCTTTTCAACTCCCTTCGGTTTAGGCTCGTTGTTATGCGCATTGTTTTATTTCATCATAGCTTAGAGCTTAATTACGCGTGCTTCATTCTGCCTTACGCCATTCTTACGATTGACATCAATTTTAGGGAACGAGAGTCATTGCATGTGCTTGAGACTGTTCCCTTTCTGACTTAATTCTTTTCGCTGTTCCCTTCTTAACCTCCTGCTCATGTCTGTTCCCTTTTCAATTTCCTGCTCATGTCTGTTCCCTTTTCAACTTGCTGCTATGTCTGTTCCCTTTTCAACTTCCTGCTCATGTGCATGTGTTGCCTTCTTAACTTGCTGCTCATGTCTGTTCCCTTCTGAACTTGCTGCTCATGTCTGTTCCTTTCTCAACTTGCTGCTCATGTCTGTTCCCTTCTTAACTTGCTGCTCATGTCTGTTCCCTTCTTAACTTGCTGCTCATGTCTGTTCCCTTTTGAGCTTACTGCTTATGGCTGTTTTTTTTATGAACTTTCTGCTTAGGTCTGTTCGATTTTATTTCTTTGAACTTTGAATATCTGAGTTTTAATCTGCTAACAGATGGACGACCATCGTAAGAAGTTTATTTGGTTTATTCATCAAATTAAATGCATTCATTTTTATTGTCTAAATTCTTTTTATCACCGAATACAATAAAAATATTCTCTTTTTTGAAGAATTTCTGCATAATCAATCGTTTTTTTAACTGCTGGAGAACATGCCAGGAGTTGGAGAGCAATGAAGGTGCGAATAATATTCATTGATGGGCTCTATTGCGCAACTTCTGCGGGGTTTTCAGTCTTGTTTTTACTTTAACATTGCAAAATTTTTGGTCCATTTGCACAGTCTATTTCTTCTATAGTCTTCTATTCGTGTTAATCTTTTTTTTATAATATTAAATAATCGATAATCGAGGATAATCACGAGAATATAACTATTTGGCTTCAAGCAAATTTCTATGTTATACGGCAATCTGCTATTAAAGTTTTTAGTTTCCTTTATTTTCCACCAAGCGATTTGTGGCTTTAAATTTAGTTCTCGGTCGCACGATCTCCCGATCTGTGGCCATTAACAATGAGCCTAGAATTCTTGCCGTCATCATTTATCGTGTCTTTACTTGTGAAGTTCCTCTCTTTTGACGCTTGAGAGGGGATTTGGTCTCCCCTTTGCCGGATTAAGAGCCCCATCCAAATGTATGGAAATGGCTAAATTTGGATGGATGTTCAGAATATTAAAGCCGGCTGCACTCTCCTCATATTTCATGAGCCACAAATCGGGCCATTTTGTTGGCGGGGACGATTTTTCCTTTTGTTGCTCCCCGCTGACCCTTCCTATTCTGCAATTCCTTGGTCGCGCCACTAAAACACGGAAGCCTTTGAGCTCCTGCTAAGTATCATAATTTATTTTATTCTTCCGTACTAATGGTTTACAGCGAGAGAGATGCTCCTGACATGGGACGAGTTACCCTTAAACTTTAGTTATAAAATTTACCTGTTGTTGGATCTCGCTCGTATTATAATTTGTATTAACTTTACGCTTAAATTGCAGTATTCATAAAACAAACACAAAGCTGCACATTATTCATAATAAGGATGACTTCTGAAAATTAAGCTACTTTTATTTATATTTTACCGTCATAAGGTAGAAGCGCTGGCGTCAAGAATGTTAACATCCTGAACATAAACGAGTAACCGGAGATAATAACAAACATTGCATCATCTTCGAGCAGGTTCGTATTTTAGGTCAAGTCCTACATCGCCGTCCGCCTAATAAAGCAACTCTTTGGTAAGTCTCTTAGGCAGGCCACATTACTTGAAAACCGGACGTAATATGGCCGTTCAGGGTCGTAACTGCGACCGTAATGGCCGTCTTGTCGCGGGCTTTCGTTAATTTGCGTCTCCATGCGCAGTCCCGCGGATGCTTCTCCTGGGTTTGTCCTCTAATCCACTAAGTTCGTTGGCCAACGATTGCGACAATAATATTTTTAGTGGACTGGCTCATTATATTTTTTTTTTTTAAATTGTTTCCAGAACATGATTTTAGGAAATGAATCGATGAAACTATACATTATTTAAATTTCTATGAGTAATTGCAATTTGATGCTTGTAGAAGTGTTACCGTTATAAAAACATTGTCGTGACTGTGTTCTTGCTTGTGCGTTTATGGTGAAAGTAATTAATTTTCTTAATCTTGTATCATGCTAGGAATTGAGGAAAAAACAATAATATCCTATTGTTTTAATTGTAAAATCGGGTTTTTTCGCTATAGGCAGTCTCATTGTGTATCGCGTAATCATGACATGAAATACTTTTACAGACTACATCTCCTCACTGCTGTGACATACCACATTTACCTGATCATATAAAATTCTTTCAACTTTCATGTTATCGCTGCTCGAATGTATACAAATGTAGTCCATTCAGTATAATAGTTACCTCTTTACCGTTATAGTCAGTTCATTTGTGTAATATGAATTTAGAAAAATTCAATTTGTTTAATTTCAAATTCAATTCTTAATTTATTGTGAATTGAGAGTTATTATTCGATTATTAATAAATAAAAATATTTGCGAATATGGTTGGGGCGCGGAGCCACAGCTGGCGTGGCTGCAGTACATGGTGCAGCAGCACCGCTCGTTACCCGCCTACCTAACCTCCGTACTAACTCTTTATGTGTCCCCACTGATGACAAGATGAGTCTTGAGCATTCTAGCCATCTCAATCTATCCTATACGTTGGTATTGTTCTCTCGTGTGTAATTGTTTTCTGTCAAGTCACTGCAATTAGGGATAAAATTCTGTTGTATCAAGGAAACGCTATATCATTCGAGTGATAAGCCCAATTCCAACTTAAAGCTCATGGCTGGAGTGTTGCAATTGTAATATGAATCTACTAATATCATGCAATTGTAATATGAAATTTGTGAATTAACGATACTTCATTCCTGCCGTTTCGAGCCTCTTCAATGTATTTGACTGATTTATCAATCAAGTTCCCATTAATTTCAAGTGTGACCGTAAGCTAATTCACGAATATTTTTAAAACAATTTTTTATCCTTGTTTCAGTTGGTGGTGGTCTTGGTTCCATCGGCGCTGAGTCTCCAAAACTTATAGAAATCACCGAAAAAGGTAAGAACTTAAAAATTTATTTCTCCTCAGTTTCAACAAAACTTTGACTGTAATGCCGTAGTGGCAACTGTTTAGTGTTGTCCTCTAATAATTTTGACAAGCACTGTTGTTTCAGTAAAGCGTGTTTTTAGTTGACAAGAAGTTTTCCCGATTTCCTGGAACAACTTCCCGCGTCTTGTCAAGTTCAGATTTTGTCGGCTATGCTCACATCACTTCTATTGACTGAATTTGTTGAAGTAAATGTTTTTGAACAAGAATGCTCCCTGTATCCTAGTTTTCTGTATCTGATATTGTGCTTGTACTCCGTCGTTAAGTTTGTATACCGAGTTCAAATCCTTTTAGTTCTCTACACAAAATTTGTGCCGAAAAGAAGTCGTTTCCCGTCAGTTGCACCGACCTATATTTTCCATTTTACCGAGAATTTTATAAAGCTCTTCAGAGCCAATCATTGTCCAACTTCTAACGGAGGTGTCGCTCCCAGCGATAGTTCTATTTGCCAGTATCCATCGGAGAGACTCTGATTAATTTAGTCTGGAAATCTCTTGAGTCTTAGCCCTTCAGTTCTCGTCCTAAATGACCTTTAGCTCAACACTCACTCTTCCTAATGAGGAAATTATTGTTCCTTTCACGTAGTTTGCGACGGTCTTCTGCCGCCGTAGACTCGAATACTTTATTCCAATGACTTTAACGACTAACCTAACTTGAAGCTTCTCATCTTTAAACTAAAATCTTGGTTCTCGCGACTGAAACGGAAACGTGCGCCTCATATGAATAACTTCACAAAATAATCTTATATTGTTGATTCAGGAAGCAATTGTTTCTACTTGGATTAAACTAATTACTAGTAAACGTCTAACATGTAACCCTGGCTATTTTCTATTATGTTCATATACGGGAATAAATTTGAATGATAAGACCCATTCGCCCGTTTATGCGGCGTTAATTAAGATACCTTACCAGAAATCTCGGCTTCACTCGGCTCGCCGCGCTGTGTGGACTTTCAGGACGAAGCTGATTGATATTGGTACTGCAAATACGATTCCTGTGTGCACATGATTTTTTTCCCCGCGGATGCCCCGTCAAAAGGCTACGCAGTCTAGCGTGTCGAACGCTTCTTACTTTTATATCGTACGAGCTGCATTTTCCCTGCGTGAGAGGTGAGACAGCCGACGTTGAAAATACTTTTAAGTTTTTATATTATTCACTAAAAAACTGACAAGAAAAGGCGACTTCACCTGCTATGTTCTTGTCGTGTTTTATTCTCATACTTTTATTATTTTATATGTTCAATTTTATTTCATACTGTATGTGTTTTATTATTTTTCCACGTATATCTTAGGAATATTTTTGTATTTGTTTAGAAATGAATTCGTGAGCGCTTTACCAGATTTTGATGTTGGTCTTTGGTGACCAACAATGAATGTTTGTAAATAAATGGATACATCGTTTCAGTTATTTATTGGATTACTGTTCTCACCCTCGTTTACTGCAGCGATTCCCTCATATTTTTTATGCCTACCTCATCACGTTATCTGAGGAAATCGGTTCTTGTGGACACAACCGGCTTTTAACGGCAGTTCTCGCGGCAAACGATAGGATTTATTAAACCGAGATGCACATCCATGGCTCCCTCGTGGTATTTTATTACTCATGATATTGCTAAGCTCTCATTTGCGATTCTGTTGATAATTCCAGAGGGGCCAGGGTGACCCTCATATTGGTCGTCTAATGGCTGCGCTGACGAGGGTGACGAATGCTCGTCTGTGGTATTGCTCAGCCCCTTACGCCCCAGCCTGTATCGTCCTGCTGCACGCGGCTTCAATTTCAGTCTCTTCGTTTCGTTAGTTCATTTATTCCACTTTGTATTTTAACAGCGTCATTCCATAGGCGTTGATTGAATGTCTTGCCTCAAAATACCACGAATTAAAAATATCGAATAGATATTGAGTAAATTTTTAAGTTTTGCAGCGCCTAGCTCGTGTAAGTGGCCCACGAATGGCGCGAGATATTTTTTTTATCCAAATACTCTTTTCAAATTGTTATTGTTTCAATTTTATTCATCTGTATAGAAGCTTTTTGAAACTCTGGCGGTAAGTTTGTAGATAAAGCATGATGTTATCAGTACTGATGCGCCAGGTACATCACCGCTTGAGTTTTAATAACAAGATAACACACTGGCCTCCTCAACTTCAGGTCCTTGGCGCTGTTGGGTGACGATACGTCCTCCCTTAATGTGATTGCGTCGTTGGTGACGAAGTGTCCCTTTCACTGGTGGCATTTATTGGCACAAATGTCGGCCTCTTCGCTCACGTAGCGCAGCCGTTACTGCAATCAATGGTCATGATCCCGATGCATGGACGGGTGATCCGACGGCGTGGTTACTAGTTGTGAATCAGCGATGGATGGTAGAGAGCCTACCAATGGTTCCTATGATCGCAGCCTGCTCCTGGTTCACGATTGTAGGGAGCCTATCCATGGTTGACGATTGCAGGTAGCCTGCTCCTCGTTTACGATTGCAGGGAGTTTGCTCATGGTTCACGATGGTTCGATGGCGCGTGTGGAGTTTCGATTCAATTTTCTGGAACTTGACCCCTCTGTTGAGTAGTTCCCTTCCTATTGGCGTGTGACAAACTATGACGGGGATGTGGGAATAGCTTGTTTGCATTGCGTCATTAATACGCTCTATTATTGTCGTTGCATTCTTGGTGACAGGCGCAGATTTACAAAAAATTGGCACAAATAAATACCTGAGTAAAGTCCGCACATATCACTAGAGGCTCAAATTGAGCAATGTTCCGCTCAAATTGAATAAAAGCCTGCCTTCTCTTCCTCTGCTTGGTGCTAAAAGATTGGGTCCATCGCACTCACATATGACTGCTGGGAACAATCGCAGCACTTCGTGACTTCGCGGGTGACTTCTATAAGTATTTATTGGCACAAATGTTATTTTAAGTTTTGCCAAATGGGTCAATTCTGTCTTGGTGTTATTGCCTGCATAAGTTACTACGTAAATAACAAGTTTCTAGGAAGCAAAATTATGCTACTGGCACTATTACCAATTGGCACTAAAGTAAATCACGATTCTCGTGTATTTTCTGTTTAAGAGATGCTCCAGAGTTTTGAGCCTCTACATTCACAGTTATTTTTTGCCTTGAAATTTTTTTCTAGATTTGCCTTCCCTGCAAATGATTTGAGTGCAAGTTATCAGGCAACTAATGCTACATTTTTAGAGCCATATCATCCTGGATGCATGCAGATGTCACGCGATATGTTCCCTGTGAGATTTCTTTTCCCTCATGAACTTTACGGTGCAAGTTTTAAAGTTGAGTCTGAGGAGTGCCACTCTCAAAGTTGTGTCGTCTGAAGCTAGCGATGCAAGTTTGGTGGGGAGAACTTCACTGATGCAAACCCAAGTCGCCTGCCTGCGATGACCGTAAGATACTGTATAGTTTAAGTTCGTGTCCGCAATGCCTTTACGTCAAGCTCAATTTTTTTTACTTGAGAAAACGTTCAATATAACTGGAGTGTGGCTACCCAATCGTAAATCATCAAATCATCAATCCTCCCTAGAGTAGCTCTGACATCATCTGATTTAATTCAAAAACTTTCGGTCACTGGATGAATCTTATCAGCATCTCAATTCTCGCCACTCTCGCCTTGCCGCCCCTTCATCGCCTCCCTAATCGTAGGCCGCGAACTGAACGCTTCGGAGGTCTGGCATCTGCCGCACTTATCGATATATTGGGCGTCATGTGAGCGCCATCGGCAAACTCTTCTCTGATCATCACCTGGGGTCGCTCTTACCCGGAAGCCTCGTGAGGCTGGGGTCTTCTAAAATAATTGGGAAGTAAACAATGGTGGTGGGAGTATTTCTCTCATGGTACGTTATCTTGAAGAGTTGATTCTTTAACATGTATAGATTACGCAAGTTTTACCTACATAATCCTGCTTGGGGCCGCGACGAACTACTATATAGCAGTAACAGGTTCTGCGAATCTTGATTCTTTACTCGCTGCAACACATTATTCATATGTGAAATGACGCTTGCGACTGGAAAATAACAGTATCATATAGTTTGTATAGTCATTTGGCACATTAGCCAAGATGAGATATTTACTCGAGCTGTCATCGGGAAGGAGCCCCGTTGAATTTTGTTGCTGTGACTACTGTGTGTTGAACCTTCAAATGTTCTACTCCCAGAACTGCATTTTGTTTCCCGTGCTACTCAGTGAACCTTAAAGGATTTTACCACCAACGCTGCATTTGTCTTTACACTAACATATACTGTGACATAAGGTTAAATGCAGCTGTTGTTCAACATATGAATTTCGTGCTATACCTCAGTGAGAATCATGAAATAGTCATGGATTCATCTTCATCTTTCATTAATGTTTGAAGCCGATAAGTAGTTGGCTCGATCACTGTGCAATTTTAAACTCATGAGAGTATAGTTACGCGAATGTTAAGGACATCGGTCGAACTTTAATGCCGTATTACAAAATTTCACATTTTAATTGCGATTTTCATACATGGCTTTTTCGTAGTTTATGGCCCGTTCTAGCTTGATCCGCAAAAAAATTCAGAATCGCTAAATTATTTTGCTAATTCAGTGCACATCTACCGGTGATCTCCAATATTAACAGTTGATTTCTGCGTATTAGATTTATATATAGTTTATAGAATTTTAAGCAAATTTCATTTGTTATAACATGCGTTTATTCAAGCTTGAACTATGAAACCCCGTCACTTGATATAGACGCTCACTGTAAGATTAACTCATCGCATGTGACGCACAAGACAAGCGTCAGTGTTCGTTCGTTACTGCCAGTTTGTTGGATGAAAGGGCTCTTGTTGGCTTCTGAATGTTTTGAGCATAAAGTTATTCCCTTTTAATAGTTCCCTGGCCAGTTACACGGCGTCATTCTATTACGAACGACTCCTTGGGTCCTCTGGTGCCGTCCATGATATTTGTGTGTATGTCGTAAACGCGGGTACTCGCT